AAGAGACCATCGAGTACAACCTCTGCCATTGCCCATCCTTGACATTCGCACAACACAAGTTTCTTGGGAAACACTTCTTCGACGGTCTCGCTGAGTTGCCCTCAGTGAATATTGGAAATCTTGTCGCCTTTGTAAGGCACACAAAATGGTTCGATCAATTGAAAAGGTGAAGGCAGGAGCCTCAGCGTTATCACAATAGGCATATTGGTCTAAGTGTGCTGGGCTTTGGCCAGCAGCTGCATCAACTCAACTCAACTCTATGTAGTTGCTGAAGTGAATTTCCTAGGGATCCAACTTCTGTCGTCTTTTTTCTGACTCCCGCACTGCAGATTCTTTAAGTGGGGGGTCCCAAATCCCAAGACAACTCGTCTTCTTTTGATTGTTTGTCAACTACCCTGCGAAAATCTGGTCCAAGACCGTCAGACATAAGCTGCTTGAACCTTATGTTAAATAGTCGTTTCTGATCACTCGCAAGTTCTTCGTGGTTTGGACAAAAATTTGAAAATATAAGCTCGTTTAAAATTCTTAACCAATTACGCAAACATTAGTTAATTATTTATTTTATCATATTTTAGGTTTATAAAATTGTATTTTTAATTTTTGTATTCCAAGAAAATTTTTTATTAAAATTCAAATAATTTCGTCATCGATATTTTGTGTAGTTTTGCTCTTTAGCGAGCTTATTTAAATAATTTTTTTTTAATCTTTTTCTTGTTGGTTTTTGTTTTTGATATTTAAAAATCAAATCTGTCTGTGTGCCATAAAAAGTAGCTCTACAAGTTGCCATTGACCGCAAAACGTTAAGCTAAACAGGTAAATAGCTTAATATAGCTTCATACAGATATACTTACAGACTTCAGCAGTTTAAATAAAAATGAGAAAAATGGGCGTAAAAGGTAAGCCAATTTGTGAATTTTTACGCAGGTGACATAAAGCTAGTTTCAGCAACGCCTACAAATTTGTTGCTGGAGTTCACTCAAAACCACTTTCAAAATTCAATGTAAAAAAAATTAGTCATATTTGATTTCAGACATACTGACACTTACACCACAGAGAAAATCTTGTGTTAAGCTTTACTTACTTTGGATATCTCTACTATTTCTTGGCCAAGATCTTAGAGTAGATGCTTTTAAGTCGCTTTTAAAAATTCTTTAACATTCCTCTTCATTTACATATATTAAAAAATACTAAAAGTACAAAAAAGGGAATTATTCAGCTGCAATATGATTGAGACTGTTCTTTGGGTGAATCTGCAGTTCAAGAAGAGAATGAACGCATATAATTCAAAGAAAAAAAAGATCATCTTTTGTATGCGACCGCCACTGGCTGGCTTGAATAAATTCCACTCGAAAGGACCAATTTTGATCACTTTTTGCAGCAATATTTTTATATTTTTTTATATCCAAAGGCATCAGTCGCCTCGGGCTCATCTGCATAGACAAGCGATTTCACATAATCCTACAAAAAATTGTTCAGCGGTATTAAGTCGCACGATCTTGAAGGCCACGCCACAGGCCCAACGCTGTCAATAAATTGATTATTTCGTTGTCTGTTTGGCATGGAGCGCGGTCTTACAGTTCGTTAGCATCTAAAATGGTACCACTGATTTCCACTGCCTATAGAATGCACCAAATAATGATAATTGAGGATGTTAGTCACTGTTGAAGACTTGTGGATTATTATCGCTTAAAGTACTTCTTCCAGCAAAAATAAGCTTCATCGCTGAACAAAATCTCCCGTGCAGAGCAAGTCTATTCATTATCAAATTGCAAATCAAACTGAGTATAAATCAAGCAACCCCTGTAAAAAAGTAAAATTCAGAAAAAAATATTGTCTCATGGATAGCCGTACGTATGGAAAAAGGAAAAAAACTTAATTTGGAAATAATTTAATGTTTGAAGATTATTTCTTGCGCCTCAAATGGTCCATCCACCTAGTCCAGATTTGGCATACTCTTTCCAACATTTCGTCCGCTATCTCACGAATAAAAGCTTCATTTGAAGCGGGCTCGTCTTTATAGGCATTAGATTTAACATAACCCCGCAAAAAATAGTCTGAAGGCTTTAAATCGACCGGCCAATTGACCTATCCCGAACCTGAAATAAAATGTTCACCGATTTCGCGTCTCAATAAGTCCATTGTTGCGCGCGCTGTGTGGTATGTGGCACCATCTTGTGGATACCACATGTCAAGCAGGTCAAGCTCTTGCATTTTGCGAAGAACAAGCTTGACATAATCTCACGGTAGCGCTCACCATTCACAGATACCTTACGATTCGCATCATCTTTGAAAAAGTACGGTTCAATGATGCCATCAGCGCATAAACCGCATCAAACTATGACTTTTTTTTGGATGCATTGATAGCTCTTGCAATGCCTCTGGCTGATCTTCACTCCAATATGGACAATTCTGCTTCTTTATGCACCCATTGAGCCAAAAATGAGCTTCGTCGCTGGGCACAATTGAATTGAATTGAACTTTCTTAACAGAGTACGCCTTTTGATAACAAAATTCAATAATTTACAAGCGTTGTTTGTTTGTAAGACTATTCATGGTCAAATTATAGACCAAACTGCAGATGTTTGACTGTGATACAAAACACGATACGTGCGTCAGCCGGTTAGACCAATGTTGCCATAAAAATAATAGCTTAAAAATCACCCTTTTACAAACATAAGTAAAGACTTGTGTATATTTTTATAAAAAATAATTAATAAAACCTGTTCCAGTTTGTAATTGGGGATTTCTTTAAGTCAACAATTAAAAATTACCAAATGTAATTATTGGCCATAAAATTTTTAAATGATTAAATATTATAAAATTACGAAAAAAAAAAAATAAATAAGACGGTAAAAATGCAAATCATGCGCAGTGAAACAATCTGTCCGAAATGAAAAAGATTTTAGAATGATTAAGCGTTGTTGAGGTTTTTGCTTGGGACGCGCTTGGAAATGGTAAAAATAGTAAATGAAACAATAATGAATTGTAAAGAATAAATAAACAAATCAACACGTGCATAAAAATATAATTAAAAAAATACAAAAAGTAATTGACTGCTCTTCATAATGAGCTCGACTTATTTCAAAGCAAATTTGAAAAATTAAAATTCATGTGTAAATCTATTGTTTTTAATAAATGTTTTTTTCTGGCAGATTTGTTTGTTTAATTTGCACGTGACTACGAGCTCTTAAAAATTATAAGAAGTAATAAAATAAAAATTATTTTTAAATTATTATATCGCGATATGATCTAGCCAGCGTAATCTCTTCTCTTTGCTCGCTAAACTATGCCAATATCGTCGTACATCTCGTACAGCTCGTTGTTCCATTGTTTGTGGTATTCATCGTTGCCAATGCGCAAAGGCCATAAATGTTTTGTAAACCTGTATTTTCGAAAACTCCTTCTGACAATTCAACGGAAGTCGTCATCCTATATACTACCGAACTATAAAGGTGGATGAGCGTCTTTTACTAGTAGAATGCGGTTTTTGTTCACCAATAAAGAACTTCACTGATTGGTAACGTTCCTCTTTTGCAAAATTTGGCGCGTGGTGAATATCTAGCCAATGATAGATCTACTAGGTCTAAAACTTTAATGATGAGGCCCAATTAGTTTGTTAACGATGAGCTTCAGTCTTATCGATGCTTACCCCACAGCAATTCGCACAGAGTATGGGGTCCCACTGTTTATGAATTGAACAGAGCACATTTAATTTCCAATCGTCGGATATGCTGTTCTCCGACCACATTCTGCAAAAAAAGAAAAAAAAAAATTATTCATTCCACCTTTCGGTTCTTAGCGATTCATTTAATTAGCTCGGTCGGCATATCTATCGGCTTTGTTGTTTTTCAAGCGGGCGAAAACAACTGTCGTCATCGATTGGGAAATCGGGTTCGCCATCTACTAGTGTTCCATTTTCATCGCCATTCAACAGATTTTAAAAGAGTTCCCTACACAAATTAAGTATATTCTGGGCATAAGTCGCTAGATTACCTCTCTGAGTCATACAAGAGTTTGCTTCGGGCTTGAAATCTTCTGTAGGTCGCTGCAACTTTTCGTAGAATTTTAATATTTTTGTATGCTTCCCTATTCAATTTACGGTATGTTTCCCCCTCCCCACACATATAATGCTCAATCGCACTCCCCACAGCGCCACGGCCGTCCTCATGGTAGCAACTGATTTTTGTTCTTTCCTAAAACCAATAGTTTCATTTGCAGCTGTACGAGTTGCTGATAAGTGTTCTCAGAGAGCAGTAGTAAAAGTCAAGAAGAAATCCGTTCGCCGTTTCTCTATTTTACTTATATAAGGTAGATGCAAAGCAAACAAACCTCTCTTTTTGAAGCCCACAAACCCTATTAAGGTCGCTGAAATCGGACGGACAAAGCATTGGTGAATTTTCAATTTTATGGTGTTTTTTTTTATCAGACAGATCATCAGTCATTTGGCTGGCCGCAGCATTAACTAAGTATATTACGAATTTACTGGGGGTCTTCGAAAAACTTACATATTGTCTGATTATTGCGGTCTTTTTTAATTGATTAACTCTTTGTGCTTTAAAAAGGAATTGTTGATGGAAATGTGGCTTAATTTTTAATCAAAATAATTTGAATATTTGACGACGCAGCAGAGAGTACCTAATAGCTGATAACCGAAGTGGTGTGAAATAAATTCGAAGGGAGAAATGGTATCCGAACAACGAGCGTGGATTTCGAGGTATCAAACATTCCAAAATGAAAATATTTTCTCGAATCGAACTATCGAAATGTTACAACATTCCTCTCTCGAATTATGAATTTTTCGACATTTGTTTAGCTTTTAAGGCTTTAAAACAGTTGTTCATTAGTCATTCAATATTAGCTCAAGTTCTTGTATTTAATGCCAACATCAGAGCATAAAATAAGTTTAAATCCATCATTTCCCAATTGGGCTTTGTTTTTATTGTTTGCTTTTTGTTAAAAAGTCTAAATTTTTGATGATTTTGGCTTGTTCCATTATCGTTATTAAAAATTAGTTTTTAGTTAGTTTCAAAAATGCAAAGATGAAATTATAAAAACAAATAGTATTTTCTACTTTTCTGATTCCATCATCTGAGAGGTCGCATTATAAAAGATACTCACTCCTTTGGTTAATAATATTTCATTGACTTTTTTTCAAATTTAAAATTCCATAAATTAAATTTTTTTCGTAAAAAATAACAATAATTTGCTTAAAATAACTAAAAATCGTTTACTTAAATTCTATATTCAATGAAGAGCAACATTTGGGGTTTCTAATCCATTTTAGTGCCATCCTTATTAGCCAATAACGGAGTATCCACCTCGTCCAGCATCACTACATGAGCTACACCGCTTGGCCCGGCTGCAACCGCCGATTGTTGTCTATCTAAGAAAGCATTAATACTGTTATCCTTCTCCGGATCGGGCAACTCGCTGGCCAAATGGAAAATAACACGCTTGAAAAGAAACTCGGAAATATTGCTGCGTAGAAAGAATAAAAACATCCAATTCGAGAAATTACACTTCTCAACAACCGCAGCCAATTCGTGCTCATCGATGCGTCCAGGCTTGGCGAAGTACGAGAAAGTGAATTTTGTAAAGCGTACACTGAAAGAGGTCGAATCAAGTACATATTAAATTAAACACCATAAATTCTGCCGTGAATACTCACTTTTTATAGCAAGCAAATGTAGCCAGACGCCAGAACAAGCCCAAAATCGACATTATCAAAACAAACGCATACCAAAACCACAGAATGGCATAAATCTTCTCGTTAATTATATTTAACGCCATCACACAGAGTGTGTCGTGCATTTGCAGCGAGCCGCTCGGACCGAATTTGCGGAAATGGCATTTGGTAATTTTCGGAAAAACCACATCGAGTGCATCCATTTCATTCGTCCAACGCTCTTGTATCACTTTGACGCCCAAACTGTAGAAGGCGCCACTCAGAAAACGATTTGTCAAATAGATTTGTAAAATTATGTTTAGTAAGTTGAGCAACTCTGTGAATGCGAGATGTGCGCCCCACGACTGATTGACGCGCATACGATCAATCATGGCGCGTCGTATATTCTTCACACGCGATTCGGCCTCCTCCATGGATGGTATATTTAGTTTACCGATTTTCAGACTTTGATCTTTCAAATACTGTGAGAGGCCGACCATACGTAAGCCGAAGACGAGTGCCTTAATGCGGCCACCTGAAAGGAGGGTAAGTTGCATTATGTGGTAGATTAAATTCTGAGATTTTCATACAAATCATGGAACAAGCATTAATATGATTTAAATTGGTTATATACAAGATATAAATCATATATTTAACGATTTAAGCTTAACTTTTAATAAATATTTAAATAAACAAAAATATTAATTGATGGCTAAGCCTTTTGTAACTTGAAGGTTAGCTTAAACACAGAAGCCTCTTCCATTCTCTCATATAAGTACTCTCTCAGTATTCACTCTAGCTATAAAATATAAATATTACGCCAGGTTAGAAAAGGAAGAAAAATACTTTATACTCGAAAGACCTCGCGATTTTTCGTTCTACGATAAAGTTCAAGATCTTGTCGAGCATGGACTTCGCAGCGTTAGGTGAGTTGCATTTCAGCCGGTAAAGTATTTTTATAAATTATTTCGAATGATTGGAATAATGATGAAAGCCTACTCAGCCCGATAATGTGCTGAACAAATTATCTGACTTGTAATATTTAGATGTAAGGCGAAGAGTAACCCAATGAAATTGTGCACGGGACACATATGAAGCACATAAACTTACGAGGTGATATCCAAAAACTACAAATATTTTCGCTTTTTGAGCAAAATATTCTTCATTTGCATATATTGTTCTTGTTGCTTTCAGAATAGAGATTGCTAACCAGTGCAAGCGCTTCCTCTAGTCCCCAAAACACATCTAAGCATCCATATATATTTTGGACATGACCAAAGGTCACACGGAACCATATGATTGGGCTTTGCTTGTACGGCATCAATTATTAATTGTCAAAACAATTCTAACCATAGTGACTGTCATAAAAACAAAGTCAACAATAAAAACAGCTGACAGTTTTATCATACTCCAGACACAGTACGAGGCATATTACAGGGAATGTTGGGAACATCAAGGAGTATTCAATCTCTAAACCTTCACAACAATTCCGCTTCGAGGTCAGTACGCTGAGAATTGTCGTCGCGAAATTCGTGACGTCATCTGTCATTAAACCTCTGTTTGAGATTTAAATAAGTTGGAAATTGTAAAGGTTATTTTAGGTTAAACTGGCTGACCCTGGCTTCTACCCTCCTATTGTGCCTCTAGTATGAAGAATATTGCTTCTTTTAAGTAGTCGTTCTAAGCACTGGCCCTTATTGATTGTAGATATTCTTCGCCAAGTATACATAGCTTTTGTATTTCGAAAACCAGACATTCACAGATTACGTGCTCCACTGTCTCTGTGCATTCCTTGGATTTCCTGCACTTGTTATCGCCAATCAGACCTATATTAAGCGACTGAGACGCCGCTAAATAGCTGAAGTCCGGTCTCTTAACCGATAGTACAATCCTTTTAAGTTTAGTGTTGCAGGTTTTACACATAGTCTTCGCGATTCTGTAGCCGTTAGCTCTGTCCTAGAGTCTATTCGCCTGACGAAGTAGTATTACTTCTTGCTACTTCCTAAATTCCTTGAATGGAACTGGAAGGCTCGATGCTGCGTCTTGACTTTCAGCTGCCGCCGGGAAGCATATAGCCGAGCAGCAGATAAGAATGCTCTATTTGTAGATACCAGTTTTGCTTGTAGAATGCTCACAATCGCATTTAGCGCTGCAGATGGTGTTGCACTAAGTGCCCATTGAAAGTTTGAATAATCTTTCCAGCCCATCCAGTTAAGGCTATGAATCCCTCGAGTGTGTACAAGGAGCTGCTCGTCTCGTTTAAATAGTATGCCTTGAACCATCCAGTGCATTCCCCTGATCTAGTACCTTCAGAATACTACCGAGGTGCAAATGGGTAGGCAAAAGATTTCAGCTGACAAGAACGTAAAGGAAGGATGGATGGTGAAGTAAACAAAGGGGTTGGTGGGAAACTATTTCGAGGACGGCATAAGAATGTAGATAAACCGCTTCACCAAATGCATACAAAAATACTGTACACTTATTGTTGTTTTTTTCTAAATATGTCTCTTATAACCGTTAATTTTATAAATTTCTATTATTTTTGCACCCGATCTAGTATGTGAAGATCAGAGCAACGATGTGGTCCTACTCACAAAAGCATAATCATCTCTTTCACGAACGAAACTTCGTTCGGGTATAGCAAAAATATGAAGAGATTTAAATATTGGCACCAACAACAGCAATCGTGTCTGCACCACTTACTTAGCGAAAGGCTTCCGTGAGACAGGCTTTTGATTAAAAATATGGGAATGAAATATGGAAGGAGATCCATGACATTAAGTTCTTTCTTTAGATGCTTGCTTGTCAAATCCCCCACAATCGACGGACGTATGATAAAATGTCGCTGAAATACTCACCTTCAATACTTTTCCACAAGAAGTGCGGCAAATGGAAGAGCAATGCCTGACCGAAGAGCACAAATGGTACCCACTGATAATAAGCATGACGCTTGATTTCTTCATGTTGACCCTGCTCCGGTCCAATGCCGGGTTGAAAAATGATACCCTTTTCTAAGGCGCTGTTGTTCAGATGACGCACCTACGAATATAATACAAAAAAAATCTTATTAAAAACATAAACCACTTTAGCACTCATTCGAAATCATGCAGTTTGATGGCGTACTCACCAGCGTGAAGGTGGGGGTGAAGAAACAATATGTATTTATCACATGCGCCGGTATCGTGTCCGATATGCATTTGATATGCTCACCGAAATATTGACGCATCGACACCAAAATGGTGGCGGTCAACAAAAGTATGAATGTCCAACGGTAATGCAATTTAAATACGAAATTATCCACTATCACATATTTCGGATTGAATTTCAAATATGGTGCAACAGTGCTGAAAGCGTTCAACATTTTCGCTTATCACCTACGTCGACGTGTATGCTCTACTGCCACTGCGAACAGAGCATCAAATTGCAGTGCACTAGCAAAAGAGTGTAATGAAATATTCGTATATAATTTCTGAACTGCCGTTTTGTTGACATAAACACTAATTGAGTAGTGTGACTTTATTACCGTTGTTTCGCAAGTGAGTTTTGTTTGTTGGCTAAAATTGTTTTTTTTTCTTAATTTTCTCTTTGTTTTCGACTCTACTTTTAAATATTGCAACACAACCAAATAATTTTTGTTTTTATTTTCCACAATTTCAATTGCGCGCACTCCACATTATATTATTGCCAATGTTGTACTGAAGACTGCAGTCCGAGTTTTTTGTTCGCTCAGCTATTCTAGCCATATTTGCCCGTTTGTTAACAAGAAATCACACCTTATCATCAGCACTCGCCTCTGCTTCGTCTGAGTCGAATTGTGTACGTGTTATCAATGCTGCTTTCATTCTGCGTCGAAGATAAGATAAAATTGAGTGCTAAATAAGGCCAATTATTGTACTCGCAAGTACTCTCGTCAGTTGCGTCGAGTGTTCGAGTTGGAAGCGGCACAAAGGTGCTAATTTAACCGAATTGATGGTATTTTGATTGATGCGCCAATAGTGTCAGGTGTAGTTTATTTTTTGGCAATATTTGACAAATTTATATTAATAATTCTAATAAAAATCTATTTATAATCTAATATATAGAATCGAATGGTATTCGTCTTCTTTCTTTACCGCTTACGCGCTGATAGTCGAGTTAACAACGGTGTGTCATTCTTTTTCCTACTTCTTCATCAGTACTTCCTCGTTCCCATCGGTGTCTTCTCGTCCATTGGGAACACATGACATAGGCAGAGCAATCGCTGTCTCTTAATTCGCTGAACTATGTCAATGTCGGCGGCTGCGGTAGCCGAGTGGCTAGCATTGAGTACTGCCATTCCGAAGACTGGGGTTCAAATCCTGATGTCATATTAACATCCAAAAAGATATAGAAAATTTATTTAAACAATAAATTAAATTAAGTTTACAAATTGCAGTCGCCCCTCGCCAGGGAATGTCAACCCCTCCGAGTGTATTTCGAACATGAAATAAAGGCTCCCCGTAAAAAAACCATCATCCGTTCGGAGCCGGCTTAGTATAAACTGTAGGTCCCTCCATTTGTTGGAGAAACATCAAGACGCAAAACCACAAATAGGAGGAGGAGCTCAGGAAATATCGCTTCAACGTCTACGGTACTCACCATCCGTAGAGACCAACAAATCGTATGCAAAACTTCTTTCTCGAAAACTCCTATCGCCGACTCATGAGATGTTGTCATCGTCCACGTTTCTACGTATAAGAGGACGGGTATGATGAGCGACTTATGGAGTTCGGTTTTGTTCGTCGAAAGAGGACTTTACTTTTCATTTGCCTACTCCGTCCAATACAGCATCTGCTGGCAAGAGTGATTCTGCGTTACATTTTAAGCCTGACATTGTTGTTGGTGTTAATTCTGGCTCCCAGATAGACGAAGTTATCTAGGAATTCAAAGTAATGAATATCAGCGCTTACATGGGAGCGGAGCGCGTTGTTTATTGGTTTGATGACAGAGATTTTTTGTCTTGTGGGACGAAAACCCACTTAGGTGCCAATCGTCCGACATACTTTCATCCGACCATATATTCAGTAGCAGTCGTGCTTTGACTTTCACTTCATTTTTGATTATAACAACTTCATAATTAATTTGGATATATCTTGGAACTAGCATATGGAAGTCTTCAAGAGGATTTTTTTTCGAAAATTTTTTAATGGGAGGTGGCGAATGGAGGGCAGTATAAGATATATGACGACTTTGAAACATATATAGATGCATAGTATATAATTGACACTTTGAAACCGCTGAAGCGATTTTTGGCTGGGCTTCCCCAGCATTTGGTGGCATAGGCTTCGTTTTTTATTTTTATTTTACCAATGAAGGAACCTACAGCTTTTACTAAGCCCCACCTTCGAACGGCCGGTGGATTTTTATGTGGAGCTTTTCATTTCATGTCAGAAATTCACTCGGAGGAATTGACATTTCCTGACGAGTGGCGACCGCAATTATAAAATGTAACTTATTTTTTTATTTAAATTAATTTTCGATATAATTTTTGGATGTAGTGCGGACCAGCAAGCGGACCCTGGCACTCCCAATGGCTAAACGTAATGCTAATATAGGCGGGCATTGATATAGTTTCGACAATTAAGAGCCTGTGGCTATGCGGAGAAGGACCTGGTTTACCTTAACTATTCCAACAGCCAAAAAAAGAAACGACTTTCGCGCTATTCTTGAATCAGCTGTAAACGCTACCTGCACTAAGAAAAAAAAGAAGCATATTGTAGTTAGTTGTTTTCCAATAAAAATGGATTTTATTTTAGCAATTACAAAATTGTCATTTCAGTCATTTTTGATGTTCACAATTCTTTCACCTTCTTCCCGTTTACATTTCACTTAAGTACATATACATATATAAACGTATAAACATATATGTATGTATTTCTATAGTGATGTTTAAAATAGGTAAAGATTTATTGACTTTTGCATTATCTACTGTCTTTGAGCTTTTGTTCGAATTCAAGTGGGCTTCCATTGAAAATAATAAATTTAATGTGAATAATTACAAGAGTCACCAAGTCTAAGCACTTGTGGCAATTGTTTTTTTTTTTGTTGATAAGAAAGGTAGTAAAGTGTAATAAACATTAATAAGGTACAACAGTAGTATTTGCGATTAAATAAAAAATATATTAATGAGAATATTTTATGAACAGGGTGCGAAGAATACAATTTCGCGGCTACTGATCACACTAAAAATTACAGATAAAAAAAAGTTGGTAACCTGATGATAAGGACAAAAAAGTGTTTTCATGGAAAAAAGAGTAAAACTTACCTCCGGAGCGACTACTGCATCTCCAAAAAATTAGTATTCTCTGCTCTCGATCCAATCATTGAGCCCTTCTTCGGAAATGCTGTGTATTTTATACAAATCTTGACATTTTCGAAGAGGCAAGAAAACAATGTTGTTGTCAGAAATATAATCGCCTACGAGATCGGTAGTGCAGTTGGCTCAAAAACCGTATTTTCTATTGTCTTGAAGGATGTATGAGAAGTTTAATCAGCGACCAATAAGGATAAGAAAAAATTTGAAAAAATTTTTTGTATATAAAATCCTTCTAGAATACGTGAGGGATCACCCCAAAAGAGTATTTCATGAAGATCATCCAAAATCAGTTGTTGCTCCGGAAACTATTCATGCTATGCGCATAACGGTACTCCAAGATCATCGTGGGTTTGAGGCAAGCATTGGTATTAGTTGAACCAGCATACATTCAATATTGCATAAATATTCTAACATAAATAATTCTACACACAATACGAGAACATCAGTCGCTTAAAGGAAGACTCGTGCCGACTGGTCCAGAGAAATATTTAAAAATACGCGGGCGGTGGCATCGTTACAGGGAATGAATCGTAGATTTGAGTCTGAAAGTAAACATCCTAATGGAGAATATTTTGAAAAACAATTTTAAAACGATTTTCGATTATTAATATTTGTTTTTGTGCTCTAAACCCAAAATATGAAAGGCAACCAGTGCTTAAAGTCTTACTGGCCAGGCTTTTAATTATATTTTGAAGGGTTTTATTTTGTGCCGGGTTAATGTGTTCTCTGGAAGACTTAAAACTAACTAATAAAATTTAGTTCCTTTATCTTCAGCTTGAAGAAAAAAATTCCTCGACTGCTGTTCAATGTTGAATTAATTAATTTAATTTTTGGTTAACTCAGTTTACGAAATTAGTCATGATTTTTTATTTGTAAATATACAAATATTTATATATGTACATACATATACAGCCAAGTATTTGTAAAAAATATTTACGCCAGCAATGTCAACAAAATTAAAAATAGATATGTCTGTATATTTACAAATTTTATATTATATATGTGTATATTATATATTGTAGCAGTATATGTATAATTGTATACCGCAGACAATATTGCTGGCTCCTCTTCATCAGTCATGTCCGTAAGTCAGGTATTATTTGCAATTTACGAATGGTTCATGGTAAAATTAAAGTTAATTTTGAGGTTTAGTCACAATATAAATACATTGAGTGGTATGTACAATACATACTTACATATATACAATATATAGAAAATATTAGCTATATACTAACATATGAATATTTGTACTTATGGATGTATAATAATTTACTTAAAATCCAATTGTCTTAGCTTGATTAATGCCTGGTACTTTCTGGTAAAATTTGCCACTAATACCAACGCAAACAGTTTTAGTTATTAATTATAAGCATAAGCTTATATAAAAAATTTACAAACTTTACAAAAAAAAAGTACAAATATCGCTGCATACCTTACTATTATCAATAAAGGACTAAACGATTTTATATTCTTTAATCAGACTAAAAAAAATCGTTGCTAAGTTCAACTGCTTATATGGCATTTTTCTAATTTGTTTACACACAAGCCTCTGCAAACATAATAGAATTTCGGTGAAATCCTTGCAGTTTAACTTTAAGGCGAAATATGTATTTTGTGTGTGTATGTGTGTGCTTTTTTCCCCAATTAGTCAGCGTTATTGTCGATAAAAATCTGCTTTGGTCGGGCGTATGGCGACATCAAAGCGCCTATGAAAGCAATCAGGAGAGCGAGAAGTCCAATGCGGCGCACATCAAACATTTAAAAAAAAATTAATAAAAATATCAGCAAAGTAAGCGAAGTAAGAGAAATAGAAACTTACATTTTAATTTATGTTCGCCACATTTGATAAGAAACAGGCAATCGATTGTTGTGTAAGTGAGTAGGGAAGAGCATGGATTGAGGAAAGTGGCAATGTTTTTGAGTTGTAATTATGCTTAATTCATAAGTAAAGTAAAAATGCTGGAACAGTTGCTTTTTTTGATGGCTCAATTTAAATAAACACATACATAGAGCCTTGGCCAAAAGTATTAGGTACCCCACTAAAATACAATTATTCTCAAAGGTGGGCATCAAAGTAACCACTTCTTTTTGTAAATGTCTTACATGGTTATTTAACTGATGATTAAGCGAATAAATTGTGTAATATTAAAAGTCATAGCATTCTGGGTAAGCTAAGCCTAAAAATTGTCATATTCTAGAAATTCGTAAAATATTTTCGCATTTAATATTTGAAAGTGAAACTGTAAATTAAATCTATGAAAACAGTTCATATTTACCGTAATGTCTAAAAAAAGTGAAATTGGATATGGTATTAGTGCAAGAGAGAATTCAAGTTCTAAGTGGAGAAGTTAAGTCTCATATTGAGATTGCCAATTTGGTGGGATGTTTGCGGTGCGCGGTCCAATGTGCTATCAGGTGATTTGTGGGGACGAAATCCCACAATAATAAATCAAAAAGTGAAAAAAAGCGTCTAACCAATAAACCAGAAGATCGAATATTTATACACGAGTCTCTCAAGTATCGCAAAAAATCTTCTTCTGCCCTTGCAGCTGCCGTTGCGGATGAATTTAGTAAACCAGTTAGTGCTCGAACAGCTGGAAGAAGACTTCAGCAAGCAGGTTTAAAAGGATGTAAAGCCCAAAAGAAGCCGTGGCGCTCAGAAAAGTATAAAAAAATCGTTTGAAATGGGCTAGCCAATACCAACATTTCACGGAAGAAGATTGGTCGAATGTTCAGTGGCCTGATGAACCAAACTTCGAGATTAGCTTAGTTAAGATCGTCTTAAAGTATTAACAGCTATAGTTTCCTACCCTAGAGCAATTTTGCAGACATAATACTAATCTTATGAAAACATTATTTTTTCTTTTCTACCGATATTTGGAACACCTGGTGCGACGTTCGTTAGGCAACGGGTTGGGAAGAATATCATCCAGATTGCATGGTATCCACTGTTAAGCTTGAAGGAGGCAGC